CTGCCAGTTCTTTTTCTCCAACATGATGCGCATGTATGCATTTAGAGCAGCAAATGAGATTCCATTTTTGAGGGAGCACAATATTCTATTCTTCACAATAAAAGAGGTGGTGAGCGTTAATCAAGCCCTTTCATTGTTTGCTTATTGTTGTCGCTTTCCAACCTAAAACCCTTCTTCATACCTTTTTTTCCATTGGTCACGGCAATAAAATTGCAGTAACGATAAAAGTTTTGCGAGAAAACATGACAGCGACCAAGATTCAAGTAGGAATTCTTGAACCAGTTGGATTGTTCACATCTATAAGAGATGGACGGTTGTTGTTATGCTGGCGGCCTCTCTTTGCCTCCCTCTGTAGTGTGCTGGACCCAACCCCCAGCAGCACGCCTTCATAGTCGCGTGTATCCAGATCTGTTGCCCCGACGTCGGACGCCTCCCACTGCGAATTCCCTGTTCCCGGCCTCATTTCTGCCAGCAGTTTGATATCTAAGGGTTCTAGTTTGCTTTTGTTGACATACCAAGTGGATGCAGGTGATACCTGCCTGTAGAATTGAGTATTAGCGCCGTTTCAACGTCTAAGGTACGCAATAATCTGATAGGCGGCCGCACAACTCCCACCCCCTTTGCTGTCATACCCTGAATGATACCCAGCCTAGACAACCACTTCCCGACAATGACACACACGTCCATCGTGTGCTTCTAGGAATGTAATTTGCTGTTTATGCACATCTATCGATTATTAAGCGACTGTCATCTGTGGACATAAGAATACGCAGCTGCGCGTGTGTCCGCTTCTCTTTGGGCGGAATCAGCACTTAAAGCGCGGCGACGGCGAATTCTTTCGCTGAAGGCGTCGCAAGATGCGGAAGGCAACTGCCGTCGCACTATCACCTTCTGTAGCTAACCTATTGGCAGCTCAGCGGATGCTCGATCTCGAAGAACCACTTGTCAAATCGAAGAAGTATCCATTTTTCAAAACCCCTAGGATCGGCTCACGACGAATTCGAAATCGGCTCGTACAAAAGCAGGTACAACAATCGATCCTTGCTCTGGTAGCCTCTTCTTGAAATTGTTCTGTTCCAGGGAATATGCAACATTAGTCTGAAAAATGTTCCAAAGCAACGGCGGAAATACTTCAGGTAAGGATCTCACTCTAAAACATGCATTATTTTTCGTTTTTCGTCGGAAAAGTGCAAAACGCAAAGAAATACCACCACTTTATGTCAGTAATGCCTCACTGATTAGTGGCACAGGTCCCAATTCATATTTTCGAACAGATCTCTTCAATGGTATTGTTCAATAATTTACAATATGTCAGGCCCCATTGCATCCGTTCAAAGACCGATTTCCTTTAAGAACAAGTAGTTGCAAACACCTATCTTTGGCAGTATCTTCGCAACTTCTCGCAAATACCTCAACCCAACCTCGCTGAGAAGCTGGAATAAACCGCTAATAAGTGGGAATTCGCTACGCCATGAAAAGCGAGGGGAGTAGATAGGTTGTGCCCATCTCAATCAGCAGATATGAACGAATATAAAGTTTTCCCAGGAGACTTCACTCCCTAGAAGAATGGGTTAACCATATGAATGTGCTAAACCACGGCATGCCTCAATCGAACAGTTTGTTGAGGAACAAATCTCTTATGCACATTTTTGCATCGCTTTATTCCCTGCAATAAACGAGTACCTACATTTGAAACGACAATATTTAGAATAAAACGTGTGAACAAACTCATTAGAACCCGTTTAACGTATGAGCTGTCATAACAGATGACAGCAGTACACTCTTTTCGAGTTCTTATCGGCTTATAAACATCGTTCTTCATCAATACACACGGACTTTCCCATTTGTCCAATTTGCGCTGGTATAATACGACGTGTGTATGGGAATTGCGAATGATATAGTAGTCCTTGAAATTATTAGGATTATGTGAATGTCCTTAGCCGCCTTTAGCAATTAACACCTATTTTCGTACTATTTTTTCCCCTAATGAAGCTCACCGCACGCAAATGACATTGAGAGTTCTCGAGGAAGTCTCGATTTCGTCATGTGCTTTTAGTGAGCTCCGCTTCGGAAACATATCCGTAAATTTTGGAGTAAAAAAAAATCAAAACAACGAGAGTGAGAGGATAAAGGAATTTAGTTCGACCTAACATACTGTAAATTGATAAAAATAATGAATGCCATAATCCTTTTTCAAGTTCATAAAAAAGTGTTGAACTTGAAAAGAGTTGTTTAGATTTAGCTTCTTGCAGTGATATCTTCACAACGGTTATTGAAATGAAATGGCGATGGTGCTTGCTCTATTTCTCATTGTCTTTCCTTATTTCCTGGACATTTTTTGCCTCACTTTACTACTCTATTGGTAAACATCATGGTGATGTAGATAACCGATTCAATGTCAGTTGGACACCTTGCATTGTTAATGTACATTCGGAAATCAATGCCTTCCTCTTCTCATTTACCACACAAACGACTATTGGTGAGTTATTTAAGCTTTACAGGAGAATTTCTGCAAAAAAAGAGAATGCCTTAGTACCAGTTTTTCTTCACTTATCTCGTTTTTTTTCAGGATACGGCTTTCGGTGAGTCGCTTACATGTCAACATACTCTCCAAACTATTTATTTGTTTTCCTAAGTTGTTTACAGTAAGATGGTGAGTGATTATCAGCATTTTGAATGAGTGTCTCTATCAAACATATATGTCGCTGGGTGCATCGTTTGAATCATCACCGTTAGACCTTCGTAACGCCTTATAAAACGGAAAAAAAAACGCAGAGCATAGCTCTTCGCCTTCCTCACTTCTTCTAGCTAATGCACTGGGCACATTGTTATTTGAAATCTTCTTGCCTCTTCAAGGGAGTAAATAAGATTTCAGAGGTTATATGGATCCTCATTAGATTACACTTCGACATGTCAACAACGGCTGAGATGTTGGAAATTTAGGAAAAAAAATTTCATCTCAAATTATGGAGGGGGGAGAGTTGTGACTAGCAAATAGTCTAGCCTGCAAAATAGTTATCAGTCAGCTTCTGCATCAAAGTCGCTTAATTTCAGAGATAAGAAAGCCCAATCTATTTGTTAAAAACGGTACACCATGTGTACTTCCACAATTTCCCTGTGCACAGGACTTTGACAATGATAAATTTAGGATGAACTCATTTAGATCAGTAAAAAAAATTGTCCAAGCAGAATTTTCTAGCAAAACTGTCATAGTTTTGTCTTTTCGTTTCAATGTTTTCGGTTCATATTGCAGAGCAAATGATTTTGCTTATCATGTTTTTCCGCAGTCACACGATCTTAACACAATCTAAATTCAATCTCATTTTTCTCAGGATTATAAAGCGACAATCAAATGAAAATAACGATATTTACCGTTCACTGCCTATAAAGGGAGTAGCGATAAAGAAATCATTGATATGGGAACAAAGTCTGGAGTTAAACTCTTTGAGCCTCGTGCAAATAAGATTGGATCGCCCAAAACATCATTTGAAAGAATTAGTTTTTCTTTTTTTCCATATTCTCTCACGAAAAAATATGTGTTATTATTAGTGAACTATTTTCTACTATTAACTAAAAACCTTCCACTAATTGTCGATATTACAATAACAAAACAGAAAAAAGTAGATTCGTATAAATAAATATATTTGCTTAATGGGAATAACACAGTCAATATTACTTAATTACCCATGGCTAATCTGATGTCGTCACAAAGGCTGTTTTATCACTAAAAATGTTCTAATTGATTTTTTTTTTTGAGAAAAAAATTACGATGAGCTTTGCGTCAAGGGGTTCAGCCACTAAATCAAACAGGGGGAGTACAGCCTCTATCCAATTTTATATCCGATGTAAGATATCTTGTGAGAGTCCCCTTAATATGTAGGAATCGCCCTTCTACTATACATTATGCACTTCTTACAATTCCAGTGTAAGATAACCTCGTTACTGCCCCCCTTTCACCGTTGTTGATCTGATTTAAAGTTTATTTCTTTGGATGTTTCGACGAATAAAACACGCACGTCTCAGCATAACACTAGGCACCGATCGCACTTTATATTCAATTATGGTGAGTGCCACCCATGAACCCTCTAGAACTCACTTAGAAAAAGCTATAACTTCCCTGTTCTGAATGTTGTTATTAAACATGGATGGATAACATATTGCTAAGCTCCATTATTGTATAGACAATTACGAGTCCTCGGCATAAAATCATTTCTCTAAACAATATTTTTGACTCCTAACCAAGGAACTCTCTACTCCATCAGCTTGTCACATTTGATTAACCTGAAAGTCATTTAAACTCATATATTTAACACTTTAACTAATATGATCAGACTTGTTGCTCCTATTAGCACTATGCACTTTGAGTACACTATATCTTGAAAGCATTGTCTCAATAACTATAAAAGTCCTCAAGTTCGTTGAACATGTCTTACTGCGAGTATACTACTTCTCTGCTAATTTATTCGATATCAAGCTACAGTATGGGATTGTAAGAAAACCCGCAAACAAAGGTTATTGAGGAAGAGGGTTGAAATTGCAGAGAGAGCTCTTTAGTCCTTTAATGTCTTCAACACTGTTTTCGCAATATTACTATCCTTACCGCTCAGGGTTACATCAGCAATCAAAATTCAGTATTGTTGGTTCTGCTTGAAAAAAGCTATATTAAGCAATTGATAGTAAAAATTTTTGAGAAATTACTTTATGATAGAATGAAGGCATATTTGTTAGTTTCTGCCTTTGAAATAGCCAGCCATCAAAATAAAGCGAGTATCACTTCAAGGACGGATTGCTACATTTGATAAACTAGGTATTAGCAAATCCGTCCAAAATTGTAAATTTTAGCTATTAACACTCGATAATAATAAAACTACAACGTCGTAAAGAGAGCATTTCGCTTCCATGATAATATGTGATATTTGCCATTCGATTTTGATTCAGAATCGTTGCATTCAAGAAGTGGCTATCATTCGGGTTATAAAAGAGAAGAAACAATGAAGAAACAATAAAATTTGA